GCCAAAACCCCCCACAACTCCAAACCGGCGCTCATCACGGACTTTTTGCAATGGAACTGTTCTTTTTTTGGGGGATTCACTTAATTTCAAACAAAAATTTTGTTTAAAAAGACTATAAATTATCTTTTTTATTTATATAGCCTTAGGATACAAAGAAAAGGAAAATACAATTTTTAAATTACTAAAATATCCTTGTATGTAAAAGACATAATGCCCCAATTCCCCTTTTAATTTCCATTTAGCCCTAATTCAATTTTGGCTTCATTTCTTCCACAGTTTGATCGGTTATTCTTCTTCTTTTTTATCATCATCTTCTTCTTCATGAAACCCCAAAATGTATATTGTCATTCTCTTAAATACTCACTTGACTGAAGTAAGTAATCAAAGCTTATAGTATTCTTGATTGGTATTTGAAGAAGAAGAGAAGGTAATGTTAAATTTCAATATTTTGGCTACTTTCTTTTTTAATTTTTCTGAATCACATATTTTGATTCGTGTTTATGGTGTTCATTTGTTAGTAATGACTTTATTTATTTATTTTTTTTATCATCGAATTATAGCTTTGATATGGGTTGCTTTCCCATTTTGTCATTAGCTCTTATTTTTTAAGTGAATATGCTAGTAAACACATGTTTGGCTACTCTATTTGTTGTTCTACTATGAAACATATATTTCATTTTTTCCGTCCAGAACAACTTACATATTGTTTTCTACAAACCATAACGATATACATCTCGTTATCAATAATATAGGAAGTTTAATTGCAGTTATGGCCATCATGGATATGTTATGGATTCAATTTGTTATTTAGTTGAATATGAGCAGTCGGTTGAAAGCGCTTGAAAATGAAAAATGCATTGAATGGCAAAGGAAAAACATCGGTCATTCTCGTTTGAAAAATAATTTCTTGTGTAAGCTTGTATAAAGTTAGAGATATGTTGAAAGTCGATACAATGCTATACCAAATGGAGATGTCAACGTTTGTCCCTATAATGTCTAAGGCTCCGACTGTAAGAAAACTAGTCATATTTGCTCCACTTGTAAATGTCAAACAGCTGGTAGTAAAATTTAAAGTTGTGCTATTGTTGTGACTTGTAATTTTATTATTTTGTACTTATTGGAAGCACAAAATGATTTATTAGATTTTGTAATCATTGTGCTATTCTCACTTTTATGCTATTAGAATAAAGTTAAAGTCTTTTTACGTTGTTGTATTTTTTTTCACATTACAGACGAATGACTTTTATATCGTTATAGTGGACGCATATGTCTTTCCAATATGAAAAATGCATAGATTCATATAACGACGTTGAAATTGTTTCTGAAACATAAAACGATATTGATGTCGTTTTCAATACGAAAATTGCACTAATTTACATAAAAGTATTGAGATTATTCATGAGACACAACAAAATTGATGTTGTTCCAGTATAAAAATATGCCATTTTATTGATTTTCATAATGACATTGAAATCATTATAGACCAATAATATGACATGGATGTCGTTATATAAAAAACTTACACGGCACATGCAACATAAAGAGTCGTTGTGCTCGCTTCCAAGGGACCATTTGCTCTCGAGTGGTAATGATATTGATATCATTATATATCTATTTTCTTGTAGTTATTATTCAAATTTGAACGATTTCAAACGTCAAATTTGTACTAAAATAATATGGACATCATTATGTTATTTCGTGGTTTGTTACATAACGATATAATTATCATTTCAATACAATTTTGACAACATCGATATCGTTTCTATTTAAATCATAAATAAAATAACATATATATCGTTTAAATTTATATAAAAAGATATGTATGTAGTTTCTGTTAAAAATAATGATTCGATGGTCCACGACCTCCCGACATGCATCCTACATATGTAGGATGCTCAAAATAGGTAATCAAGTGGATTCGATCTCACTCAAAAAAAACTAGGGGGATATTTCTGTTCCCACGATTGTATACAACATTCGAACTATTCCGACAAAAAGAATTATTTTCGTTCGTTCTTTCTAAACCATTCGAATGGCATCAACCCACTTGATGACCTCTTTCGATCGTCCTAAGTGTGTTAAAGATGTGTTGAGTGGTTGTAGATGATCGAATCGTTATTTTCAGTCAAAATGATATAATTAACGTTTTATATGAAAAGAAACAATATTTATGTCGTTAAAGTTATTATTTGAATTGGAATGATTTTCAAACTCGTCAAATTTGTACTAAAATGACAGGAATGTCGTTACTTAATTTGTGAGTTTGATACATAAAGACATTATTATCATTTCAATGCAAGTTTGACGACGTTGATATCGTTTTAGTTTAAATCATAACTAAAACTACATATATATCATTTCAATCAAAATAAAACAACAATTATATCGTTTTTGTTAAGTATAACAATTCGACCATCCACAACCACTAAACATGCATTTGACATATGTAGGATGATCAAAATAGGTAATCAAGTGGGTTTGATTGCTTTGAAAGAAACTATGAGAATATTTTTGTTCCTATGATTGTATACCACATTCGAATTATTCCGACAAAAAGTATCTTTGTTCACTCTTTTTAAGTCATTCAAGTGGTATCAACCTATTTGATGACCTCTTTCGATCTTCCTACGTATGTTGAAGGCATGATCGGTGGTTGTGGACGATCGAATCGTTATTTTTAGCCAAAACGATATAATTATCGTTTTATATAAAAAGAAACGATATCTATGTCGTTATACATGTGATTTGAATTGTAACGATTTCAAACTCGTCAAATTTGTACTAAAATGATATGAATGTCTTTACTTTATTTGGGATTTTGATACATAACAGCATCATTATCGTTTCAATACAAGTTTAACGATGTTGATGTCGTTTTAGCTTAAATCATAACTAAAATGATATATCTATCGTTTTTCTTTGTATGAAATGATAATTACGAAAATGACGATTCAATCATCCACGGTCATTTGACATATATTCATCATACGTAGGATGATAAAATAAGTACAATAGGTAAACTTAAAAATTATAAAGAAGTCACAAAAATATGTAAATTTCAATTACATTTAATATCGTAGTTATAACATTCTAGTGTTACCACTTTTGAAATGATATGTATGACATTATAGTCACGATTTGAACGGGAACGATATCATTGTCGTCGAAAATTGTATTGAAACGACATAAATGTTGTTTACTTATTTCATGGAGTGTGCCTAAACCTGTTAAACAGTAGACCAATGTGTGTTCGATATCGAAATGACATATACATCTTTTTTGTATTTTAGGAACAAGTTCAATGTCGTTATACAAATCAGTTAAGCAGAGTGTATTTGATGCTGAAACGATATCGAATTCGTTTATGTTCC